ATACACATAACAGAATAAACGAAATACACTAATAAACGAATAGCAGAATAAAAAAATAGAATAGCAACCTCGATATATTTAACATCCATCGCTATCTCCCAGAAAGAAAGTTGCAATCTTTACAACATCAAAACCTGTATAAAAAAAAAAGAGCTTCGATCTTTCGCTAGAAAATGGCGTCCAAAATCTCTGTGGTTACGTGTAGAGGATAAGAACTGAGAAGCCCGAGCGGATATACGCTAGTAAAAGCTCGTAATTGAGATTTGTGGATAGAAAAGTATGAACACAGGCAGAAACTTGCAAATTAAAGAAAATAAGATAAAGAAAAAACGAATCTTTGTATGTATTATATACTGGGATGCATGTGGGCGCGAATGATGGAGGAGAATGATGAAGATGACGATGCCCTCGGCCAGAAATTTTTATATATAGAAAAATTCAGGCCCATCCCATCATGAATTCTTTAAATTTTTTGTTATGCTGATTTTTCAATCCTTATCGCGAATCTCGATATTTATACTCCACGGTGATGGTCTCGTTGGACACGTGTAGCAAACTTATTTAAGCAGGTGGGTTATCATTGATTGGATATCCTCCTACGTCTTGACGGGGCAATCCCACTTTAGGTAGAGGTATACGAATGGATTTATTCATGAACAAATAAAAGAAACAATGAGAAAATTGCAAATTTGGTTTTAAAACTTTTGTTGTTTCTCACATTTTATTCTAGACACGTTATTTATGGTCCTTTTTTATTTTTCGTTGTCAAAACGGTACCACTCCGTCAAGACTTAACAGTCTTCTTCATTAAGATGTTAATTGTTATTTTTAATTTGGAGAAAATTACAAATTTGGTCTCAAAACTTTTTTTTGTTTCCCACATTTGGTCTCAAGTAGTTCGAGAAGAATAGTTCGAGAAGAAAAATCGAACATGTCTAAAATTAATAATCATGCGAAATGAAACTTTCGTCTTTCGTCGGTTATCCACTAAATTATACTCAAATTCGAAGGCACGGTCCCCACAAGATGAATCCATACAAAACAAAAACTCGTCCCGAGTCATTTTACACATGATTAACTCGATTCAAACTCCATTTTATTCCAAATACACGTGCAAAAAGCTACAGATAGTCTACTCAACATATAATAAGCAAATAAAAACGAAACCGCATAGCCAACTCCCCATTTTTTTTTCTTTTTCTCTTTATATATATATAAGTAAATTTTTCCAAATGAGAGTCGTTAAGACGATTATTACCTAGGTTTATCATTGGAGTTTTTTCCCGAATCTTCTAGGCCGGTTTTCCGTACTCATTGCCCCGATTTATCTCGAAAGAGACTAACCGGGTCAAGCGGAGTCAAATCCTTTCAAATCTCATGAGCTCATTTTTATTCCTTTTTTTTCGTTAGCTTTCTCCAAACGAAGTTTCTGGATGATGATTATCTAGGTTTAGCCTCGAGGGGTTTCCTCGAGTTTCCTAGACCGATTTTTCGGGCTCATTATCTCATTTCACGAAGTGAATCGAAATAAGAGGAGTATAATCCATACTTCCTAGCGAACTCACATTTTATTATATTTTTTTTTCGAAGGGAGCGGCACACAAGGATACATCACGATACAATACAATAACATCAACAGTCAATCAAGACGTACCACAAGTGTATAGCATAATACGATTACAACGATCGAACACAAGGCAAGAATGTATCACCAATCGAGAACAAATAAGGGACAAAACAATTCCGTGAATTCAAATGCGGGTTCTAATGCTAACAAATCATCATTTAGTTTCAAAGGAACCGTCCAATTCATCAAGTACATAAAGTATGAAAATTAACAATGATACTAAATGAAAATCTTAACTCACCACTTAGCCATCTTGGCTTTAAACAAACATCAAGCTTCATGTGGGGAAATCGACACAAACACAAAAACAACAACAAAAACCGGTCCATGACACGACAAATACGAAAAATAAAGCACCTAAAACGAAAGAAATACCGCTTAAGCATGCATGATCACAAGCAATGTCCACATTGCTTGACCAAAAAGTATATGATAGAGTACATAATCACACAAGCTCATGCGATAAAAAAGAGAATAAGGACCACCGTGTGTCCAATGGTGTTCTTCCGATGAAAACAGAGAAAATAATCCGAAAATCCTCGAGTGCAAAATAAAGTCATCCGAACGATTGTACAATGAAAGCATATCGATCCATAAGGCAACAGGACACTATGACATTTTAAAGCATAAGAGAGGTCAAGAATCCCGGAGTGAGCTTTTTTTTCCGTTCGATTTTTCTTCTCGAACTACTTGAGACCAAATGTGGGAAACAACAAAAGTTTTGGGACCAAATTTTGTAATTTTCTCCAGATTTAAAATAACGACTAACGTCTTAATGAAGAAGACTGTTAAGTCTTGACGAAGTGGTACTATTTTGGCAACGAAAAATCAAAAAGGACCATAAATGGCGTGCCTGGGACCAAATGTGGGAAACAGCAAAAGTTTTGGGGCTAAATTTGCAATTTTTTCAAGAAACAATTATACATCCGGTTTGGAATCGTCGGTTCATGTTCGCATTTAATGTGAATCAGAATCAGAATCAGAATTGGCCTGACAAAAATTAAGAGTCGGTTCAGAGCATGCTCGATTGTTCAAGACCAATTGGCCCAGAATCAATAAATTAAAAGAATAATAATAATAATTAAAAAAAATAGAATTTATGCGCCGAATTGTCGGTTCTAGTTCAAGACATGAACCAACAGTTCTTTATTTTTTTTTTTAAAAAAAAAAACCATGAACTTGAATCGGCCTGGGTATAATCACGTGTCAGTTCCAGGTCCGCGATTAAGAGGTTCTGACCGGGTTGGTTTCGGGCTAGTTAGGTTGGCTGGATTGAACCGCGAGACCTAGTAGACGGAACGAAGGTACAATACCAACGGGAGAGGAACGACAGGGTTGGAAAACAAAGAGAAAGGATGCGCTTGTACAACTCCTCTACCCAACTGAACTGGTTTCCATCTACCCGAGCTAACCTCTCTATCAATCAAATGCCCCAACCGCAGACCTGGGGCGAGAAATGCTTTTGATTGATCTGTCTAGGGCTAGCTGAACTTAAGCCTCATCTGAGGAGGTTCGATGTAATTGACGCTATTTGACTTCTTCTTCCTTGAAGACCTGCAAGGCATCATTCATCAAACGTTGTCATTTCAAGCCCAACCCCCCCAATTCGCGGGCCATGCAGAGTGACCAAGTCTATTAATAAATATGGAATGTTAATTTAGAATTTTATATTACTGATAATTAAAATGATAAATATGTGTTACGCGAATTTTTCAAAATGTAATCAATGTAACTAATAACTATTATAAGATAACTTATAGTTTATTTATATTTATAAGTTTCAATTATTTAAATAAGTTTGTTTTGATAAGACAAACTTTTTTAAAAAATTGCATTTTATTTCATAAACTTATTTTATATTTTCAGTAAATTGGTTGAAATTTTTATTTCATCCGACTTAACAACTAATTTTATCGAACAATTTTATCATATCAACTAGCATTCTAGACATCAATCTTAAGTTATCACCCATAAGCTCGAAATTCATTTTTAAACTATCAGCTAATTTATCAGCTATCGGAGTTTTTTAGCTAGGTTTACCATAGTCTATTATTTATGTTAATTTAGGTTATGGTTGGTAAATATATATGAAAAACTAGCTGATAAATTGTTAATAATTTATGTGTGAATTTCGAGCTTATAGCTGATATAACAAAAATGTTTGTTGAAATAGCTAATAAATAATAAAATTTCATCGGGCATATTTAAAAAGTTAACTAAGGAAACTTATGATTTAAGTTCAAAGTTAAAAAAAAAATGGTCCTACCAAATTAAATTTATTTAAATATAAAAAGTTTATAAGGTAACTAAATAAGAAAATCTAATTTAAGGTGTTGACCAACACACACTTATGCCTTATAACTTCCAAATAAATTTTGAATTTTACAGCTGATAGTTGATAAGTGATAGCATAAAAGCTAACTGATAGTTGGTAAGTATATCCCAACTTATAACTGGTAACTAGAAAATTAATTAATGTAATAAAATTATTCGGTAAAATTGATTGACTAGCCATCTGAATTGAAAAACTTTCAAAATTAATTTTTAAAAGCTACCTAAGACTTTTATGAGATAAAATCTGACTTTTTAAATATGTTTATCCTACCGGATCAACTTTATATGGGGGTGTATTTAATTAGGATTTTTAAGGACTTTTTAAGACTTTAGAAATCCTGGTGTATTCAATTTAGATTTGTTAAGACTTTTTAAAACTTTTAAAAATCCTGGGGTATTCAATTGGGATTTTCAAAAGTCTTACAAAATCCTAAGGTATTTAATTTTTTTGACACTAGGATTTATTAAGACTTTTTAAGATTTTGTGGGATTTCTAAACAAAAAACCTTATATGAAATCTCACTTCAAATCCTACCTCCGGACTTGAGATTTCATAAAATTCTTCCAAAATCTGAAAATCCTAGAAAGTCTCAAATCTGAAAAAGTCTTAAAATGTCACTTAAATTCCGAATTGAATACACCCCCTAAGATGAGATAAAATCTGACTTTTTAAATATGTTTATCCTACCGGATCAACTTTATATAAATTAAATATAAAAAAATTATAAACCAACTTAAGTGTAAGGTATCCCAAACATTCTCAACAAAAGCAAGACACTGGGAACCAATTGAAGAGATAATATAGATAATAGAGGAATTTACACTCCTTACTTCAATTTATGATTTTTACTACATTTATATATTCCTTATATTCTTATTTATAAAAATACCTAAACAAGCTAAAAATATTGTAATTATGCCTCACGATGTAACTGTTATTACCTTTTGTTCTTGCTTATTAAATGTTAATGAAATCCTTAACTCAAATTAAATATATGCACTTTCTCTCTCTTTCTCCTTTCTCTTCGTTTCTCTCTCCCTCTCCCCCGTCTCTCTCTTCTTCTTCTTTTTCTTTTTCTCCTACAATTTTAGGCTTATATTTTCTCTTTCTGTAGAAAAAAAAAACAAAATAAATTATCAGCAATAGAAAAAAAAAATTGTACTTGATTTTTCCAGCAGCTGATTTCTTTTTCCCCATGAAAGTGAGATGTATGAGGTGATACGAGTGACTGTAAAAAATAAAAATTACAGAGATAATGGGCCCAGACGGTAACGGCACAAGTTCTTCTTCTTCATCTCCATCGGCGACGGTGAGTGTTAAACGAGGCAGAGATCCAGAAGATGAAGTTTATGTCGATAATCTTCACTCAGCACAAGCGCTATCTTAGCGAGTTCTTTTTTTTTTGGGAATATTTTTATTTATAAATTTGGGTTTTATTGTTATGTATTTTTCAATAATTGTTGGGGCCTTGGAAATTGAAGTGTTTGGTACATGATCGGTGTAATTTAGATCCAATTCTGTGAATGCGCAGCTACGAATTTGGTTAGGTAACTGTGGGTTTTGATAAGTCTGTTTGAATTTGAGATTGCTATATGCATTTTTTTTTTTGTAACATATAAAAGTATATATGATTCACTATTTCCCAGATTTTTTCGCAGAATAATGTATTTTTGCAGATTCGTGTTCTCAAATCCATATCTTGAATTAATCCGGTATATGTTGTGTATATATAGGGTATATGTTCTGTATAATATAAGGACTACTTTATATGTATGTATGGTTTATATTGACAAAGCATTAACTGATGATTTTTTTTTTTTTTTTTTTATATCTATGATTTATACTCAGTATATTTTCGGTATATGATTTATAGTATATGTTCACGGCAATATATGTTAGCGTGTATAGCAAGCAGTATATGTTGTGTGTATGGGAGTATATGTTCAGTATATTAGAAGTTTTTTTGTAAACTATTCAGTATATGTTATGTGTATATGAAGTATATGTTCAATATATGTTCAACATATTTAGAAGACTTGTTTGTATAGGGAATATAAGTAACTGTTATAATATGTTTATATATACTTTTATGTCTAGAAGTAAAAAAAAAAAAAATGACATAATTTTGAGACATGTTTTTTCATTGCAACATGTACTGAATATATACCAACATAAACGCAAAATATACCTCTGACGGCTGCGTGAATTACAAGCTGCGTGAATTAAAGAATTAATTGAGGCAGTTATTATTTTTCATTTCTCTCTTTTAATCAAGCCCACAAAAAGGGGATGGAAGTTGAATGAATAAGGTAACTTACTTAAGGCATTAATGGAGTTATGTATTACATATTAGGTAGAGATGTAATTATTTGTTTATTGATTGTATTTTTGCAATATTTTCAAAATCTTATAGGAGAGATGAAAATTTCCCTAGATAATAACGTGGGTACATATGTTACTTCAATTGGGCTAACTTAAAGATATTGGATTTGTAAGCAAGGCCCACTTCAGCGCATAAAATAGGCTGGGTACTGGCCTGTAGGGCAGAGACTAATGAAATTTCTCCAATTCACTACTCTAAGTAACTCAACCAAACATAACCCCTAAAAAAGCCCAAAGACCAACACAAAGAAACCCTAATAAACCATTTGTAATTCGCATCGCTTCACTCTGTGAACGAACCTCACGCAGTCGGCCATCGATCAACACTGTCGTACGAGCTTCCCTACCAATCTTCTTCTCCTTCCCTAATTGCTTGAAGTTTATAATCTGATTCGTTATTCACCTCTGCAGGCGGAAGTAAGTCGACTCAGAGAGCAAAGATGAGCAAAGGCGCGGCGGCCGGGGGAGCCAAGGGCGGAAAGAAGAAGGGGGTGAGCTTCGTGATCGACTGCTCGAAGCCGGTGGAGGACAAGATCATGGAGATTGCCTCGCTCGAGAAGTTCTTGCAGGAGAGGATCAAGGTCGGCGGCAAGCCCGGCGCCCTCGGAGATTCCGTCACCGTCACGCGCGAGAAGAACAAGATCACTGTCACTGCTGATGCTACCTTCTCCAAGAGGTATTTCTTTTGTATAACTTTGTATGCTTCTTTCTAAGCATTTTGATAATTTTTAGGAGTTGCTGCGAATTGTGTTAGTATCCAGCTTTTTCTTTTTTAGTGTCACCCGGTGCATTGCTTAATTTTGTTGTGCCCATAGTTTCGTTTTTTGTTTCCTTCAGTTTTTGAAAAAAATAAAAATAAAACTAACATATTTTTTAAAAATATAGCCTTGAAAATTGCCAGTATATATGAAGTAGGTACCAGAGGGTAATGCATAAACATGCCTAATTTGCAGAATATGTGTAGGGTGTATCTGAAATTAGGGTTTTAGTTTGGCTGGATGAAAAATTACGAAACGAATATAAAGAAATTATGAATGGTGATAACATGTAATGCTTGGGGAAATTAGAATAATGGTGATACTAATATTAATAAGGTTTTAGCTTCTGTTCCTCTTACTTTGCTCCTTCTTGTTGCAAACTGCCATTGGTTTGCAGGTATCTCAAGTATTTGACAAAGAAATACTTGAAGAAGCACAATGTGAGAGATTGGCTTAGAGTGATTGCTTCAAACAAAGAGAGGAACGTGTATGAACTGCGTTACTTCAACATTGCCGAGCAAGAGGGAGAGGAAGAAGACTAAATTTACAAATCTGTTTCTTGTTATTCTTTTACTTTATCCAACATTTGTTAGACCATTGCATTTTGGGATCAATTTTATGTTGTTTGTTTTGTTGACATTGAATTTCAGGACTTCCTGCTTAGATGAGCTTGAATTTGAGGGAATTCGGTGCTTCGTGTTGCTGCTTATTTTATATGATATAGTGCTATAGCAAATATATCTTGTTTGAGCAGCAGGTGCGAGTGGTATATCTTTGATATCCTGCTTGGTGTTTTTCTTTAAAATCTTCATGGTAATCTTTGATATCCTGCTTGGTGTTTTTCTTTAAAATCTTCATGGTAATTCTTGAGAGATGCCAGAGCTTTTCTAAAACAGCTACTCTGACATTGTTAACATGTTTTCCTAGTAAGCGAATATGATTGAGGCAAGTTGTAAAGACTGACCTTTCTAGGTTTCTCTGCTGATTTTGCTTGGTGTTTTGGGATTGTTTGTAGGGCTGGCATTTTTTACAATGAAACGAAAAAACCGACCGAACTGAACTGATGCGTGAAATACCTAAATTGAACAGAACTGATTTTTTGGTAACCAAAATTGGGTAACTGACTCTGTTTTTGTTTGGTTTCGGTATTGATTTATATATGGTTCGGTAATACCGAACTGAAAATTATATGGCTCCCCTCCTCCCCTCTTTTTGTTTTCTTTATGTCAGCCCAACCCAATGTGTAGCCTATGCATTTCACACTCAAAAGTCAGCCCATAGCCCTTAAGTTTTTCCTTTTTGTGAGATCTGAACCAAGAGAAGGGTTTTCATTTCCCAAATCAGTTAACAGAATCTCATAACTCAAAATTCACCTCCACATTGTGCGTAGAATGGAGTAGTATTTATTTGCTCGTTCTGTCAAATTTTTTATTTTGTTTAAATTGTTTTTTTATCTTCTTCTGTGTGTTCCTTTTGCTATGGTTTTGAGGTGGAAATCAAATATTGTTTTTCAAGTTTTTCACTGAAACAAAGAAAGAGAGATTGTTGCTTTGTGTGTTCCAGAATTTTATTTTTTTTCCCGGTTCTCCACATTCTTGTTGCTTTTGCACTTTAGGAATTACCAAAATCGAATGAATTTGAACCGATTTTTCATTTTGTTCAGTAAATGTGGTTTCGGTTTGGTAACTGTGCTGTTTGTGGCCCTACTTGTTTGTAGGAACATGGATGTTCAGAACTTCATATGTTGGTAATTTTGCTGATGGTGCTTGTATAGTAAAAGCAAACACACGACAAATTCTGTACTTCACATCTCCACACATTAGTCTTGCTGGCTGACTAGGCATTGTTATGATTGCATTCTTAAACCATGCGAATGAATCAATATACGTGTGTGATTGGCTCTTTCACCTATCCCCTCTTTCCCTACCTGTATCATTCGTTGATGTCTTATCTCAACAAACCAAATGTTGGTTGTCTTTGTCTACTTTGGGCGTTGTTGCTCAAATTATATTTCTTTGAGTATGTGCAATTAGGTGCGTCACTCAAGTGTGGATATTGGGTCACATCGATTTAAATGGGAAAAAAATTTGAAGTGTGCCATAAAATACACAGTCGACCTGATATTCCTATTTCAAAACTGGAAATAAGAATATACCATGATCGATAGTTTGGTAGCCATACAAGTCACATAATTTCTTCTGTTCAACACTACAGTATCTCTATCTAGTACAGATAATCTTTGGCTCCAACGCCTCCCATTCAAGAAAACAGAAACACAATTGTATGAGACTTGAACTAGATTACAATTTACGTCTTTCAGGATACAGTTTAAGTTTTTCAAGACAGGAACTTACAGTGTCTTGGTTTTATTGCAAAGTAGCCAATCCAAAGATGAAATAGAGGTAGTAAGGTTAATTTTGTCATTGCACACGGTGAAAATGACTTATTTCATACTTCCATAAAAAATGACTATATTTCATCTTTTCAAAAGTCGTGTGGCTAAAATCCCATTCCAACACCGCCAACTTATTGTTTAATGCATGTGATATGAGATACCACATCAGATCAGCTCGCCCTGAGAAATCTAACCAAAGCAGGTGAACCGGTAGGTCGATCGGAGATGGAAAGTACTAGAGGTTGATGAACCATCAGGTCGATGGTGACGACACAGACAGATAGGATTGTCGTCAGGTCGAGTTGGAGCCCTTGAATGGCTTGGTAGAAACTCGTCCTTGAGGTATACATTTCGATGTATCGACCTAAAAAATAGTGTGCACGAGCACACCGAGAAGTCAAGCTAGTTTGAGGGAACCGAGTTGATCGTACGTTAGGTTGCCTAATAAGGTAGACTAATAGATAAGAAGAAATATAATCAAGATAAGAACTACACGTGGATTAGACCACGTGACCTAATGAATTGGGAACCTCGGGCACCTAGGCAGTATGAATGGGCGATTTCAATCGCCTCCACACTCCAACTATGCGATGATTCTAACGCTAAGTATGAGGACATCAATCCGTTCAGGCAGCGCCGACCAGTGGTGGGCGAGGATGGCGACAGGCGGTGGGAGGGCTCCTTCTGCGTGGACATCCCTAAGCTCATGGGCGAGCTTAACGCATCGGAATTCCTGACTAGATGGCGTCAGTCAAATCTGTTTTGGAGTTTAAGGAGGTACCGGATGATAGGAGAGTTGGCCTTGTGGTGACACACCTACGGGCCGAGCGACGGCATGGTGGCAGCAAGTTAAGGGTTCGCGGCATCGATTGGGCAAGTCGAAAATCACGTCTTGGTCTAAGTTTCGTAAACACCTTGAACTTGAGCTTTACCTTTTAACTACGTTCGCACTATTTATTAAAAGTTACAAAATCTACGGCAAGGTTCTCGGTCGGTTGACGTCTATACAGAGGAGTTTTATAAGCTTCTTCGATATTCGAGAGTCCACAGAGCAGTTAATCTGTCACTACATTGGGGGGTTGGGCGTCGCCATCCGGCACACCTTAAATCTTTTTTCTCCGGATACCATGTCTGATAGTCACCAGCGTGCATTACTCGTGGAAGAGTAGTTGTTGCGCCGTGCGGCATCAGTTGTTTTTCAGCCGCAACGGGTTGGTTCGACGCCATCTTCTTCGTCGGGGCCGGGTCGTCAAACAACTGCTGAAAGTGTCCAGTTCAGTCGTGGCGGAGCACCGACACAGGGAGTTTTTTCGGCCGTCGAGAATTCATTAGTGGCTGCGGTGGGCATTGGAACGCCGGCAGCAGCGGCCGGATTACGATCAGCGGGCGGCATGTACTATTTTCTGGGTGGAGAAACGGGTCACCAGCAGGCCACCTGTCCACAGTGAGGCAGTTCTCGCGCGCTCATGGTGGATGTCAGCGACGGGGTTTTGTATGATACTCCTCTGATTTTTTATGAGGAACTCGAGCCGACCGAGGAGCACTTGTGTGGCAACGTGGGCTTTGCTTTGGTTTTTTGATGTTTTTATTTATCACCGAGGGTCTCGTCTGAGGAATCTTTACAACACCATCATATTTTTGAGTCGACATGCACCATCGGCGGGCGAGTGTGTCGTTTCATTATCGACTCCAGTTCATGCAAGAAAGTGGTGACCCAAGAGGCCGTCGAGCGGCTTCATTTAGTGACAGAACCGCATCGTCATCCCTATACGTTGGCCTGGATCTAGCAGGGCAAATCTATCACTATGGATAAGCGAGTTTTGGTCAATTTTTCGGTCGGGCCCCGGTATCGAGATGCGACGTGGTGTGATATTGTTCCTATGGACACTTGCCATCTTTTGTTGGGTCGCCCATGGCAGTTTGATCGTTCGATGGCGCACGATGGGAGCCTCAATACTTATAGCTTCCTGTTTGAGGGGACTCGGCTTGTGCTCCACTCATCTCCTTCATGTCCGTTGCCGTCAGCCGCACCATCCCCAGTTTTGTTATCTCGTGCCACTTTTGTGGGCGAGTTGCGCGAGGCGCCAATTGTGCTGCTACTCGTTGGGTCGGATGCTGCGCTGGAACACACCCCTTCGTCGGTTATTCGGCCTTTACTGGCGGTGTTTTTCGATGTCTTTCTAGAGGATCTACCGTCTGGTTTTCCTCCACTCCGGGACATTCAACACCAGATCGATTTGGTGCCGGGGGCGTCTCTGCTGAACCCACCTCATTATTGCATGAGTCCAGTGCAACACGAGGAGTTGCAGCGCCACGTGGAGGAACTCTTGCAGTGGGGCGTCACTCATTGTAGTCTGAGCCCTTGCATTGTCCCGACGTTAATCACACCGAAGAAGGATGATTTATGGCGCATGTGCGTTGATAGCAGGGCAATGAATAAGATCACAGTCTGCTACCGATTTCCTATTCCACGTCTAGACGACTTACTAGACCAGCTGCACGGCGTGTCTGTCTTCACTAAGCTTGACCTACGCAGTGGCTACCATCAGATCCGCATCCGACAAGGCGATGAGTGGAAGACTGAGTGGAAAACGGTGTTCAAGGACCGAAAGGGTCTTTTTGAGTGGTTGGTGATGTCGTTTGGCCTATCGAATGCGCCCAGCGTTTCATGCGAGTGATGAACCAGGCGTTGCGTGACCTCATTGGGAATTGTGTCGCCATTTATTTCGACGACATTTTTATGCCTGCCATGTGATATGGACTTCCTACTTACAGCAGTTTACATTTGTTCTGAAGCATCGCTCGGGAGCTTCTAACCGCGTGGCAGACGCCTTGAGCTATTGCTCGCTATTGTTGACTGACATGCGGGTCACAGTGGTTGGATTTGAATTACTGCGGGATCTCTATGCGACTGATTCTTTTTTTGGCCCCATTGTGACTCGCCTCTCCTCGGGTCCCTTCGAGGATTATGTTCTTACTGATGGGTTTTTATTCCGGGGTATGCGTCTCTGTCTTCCCGATTGTAGCCTTCGTCTGAAGGTGGTCGTCGATCTTCAGGGTGTCGGACACATAGGCCGCGATCGTTCCATCGATTTGGTGGGTCGTTCCTTCTTCTGGCCTTTTTCACAGTGTGACGTGTCTCGTTTTGTGAAGCGATGTCGTATTTGTCAGGTGTCCAAGACCGTAGCTTCCAACACCGGCCTTTATTGTCCCTTATCGTTCCTGTCGCGCCCATGGGCTGCTATTAGTATGGACTTCGTCTTGGGATGGCCGCGCACTCAGAGAGATCATAATTATACTTTCGTTGTCGTCGACCGTCTTTTCGAAGATAGTCCATTTCATTCCGTGCAAACAGACTGTTGATGACATCCATGTAGCTACATTGTTCTTTCATCGACTGCATGGCCTACCATCCTCTATTGTTTTCGACCGCGACACGTGTTTCCTTAGCCATTTTTGGCATAGCTTGTGGCGTCTTGCCAACACGCGGTTGGACTTCAGTAGCGCGTATAATCCTCAGACCGATGGCCAGACGGAGGTCGTCAATCGCTTGCTTGGGAATTTATTGCGTTGTTTGGTGGGCAAAAATTTGTGGAGCTAGGACTAACGGCTCCCTTAGGTTGAGTTTGCTCATAACTCCGCCAAGAGTCGGGCCACCTGGTTTTCCCCGTTTGCTCATAATTGCGGATGTGTTGGCCTTGCCTTTGTCCGAGGCATCTAATCGTCGTGCTGAGGACTTGGTGGCCGACTTGCAGCAAACTTATGCGTCGGCGCGGGCACGTTTGGAGGAGGTGACGGCCGATTACAAGTGCCGCGCGGACACTCGGCGTCGGCATGTCGAATTTGAGGTAGGTGACTTCGTTTGGGCGGTTCTTACTAAGGATCGTTTCTCCGTCTACGAGTACAACAAGTTATCTACCCAAAAGATCAGTCCGATTGAGGTAGTTGAAAAGATTAATCCCAATGCCTACCGTCTCCGTCTTCCGTCGCATATCTGGACTTCGGACGTGTTTAACGTCAAGCATTTGGTGCCGTACCTGGGTGAGAATTCGGACGGAGACGAGATTGATCTAGATTCGAGGGCGAATCATTCCCAACCGAGGGAGGATGATGAAGACTAGATCGCGTTGTCGTTTATGGAGAAATATGACCGGATATCATCCTTAGTTTCATTACTTATTTCCTAGTTATTTTATTATTATGCCTTATTTCCCTTTTTTTATTTGGTAGATGCATATTTAATATTATTTAAAATTTACTTGTTTAGCAAGATAGAGATTTAGACTATTTTGGACTCTATTTATTGTGTCCCTTGGAACAAGCCGATCGGCTATTAAAGAATAACACATGATAATTTGAGATTTATTCTCTCTTGTTCTTTTCGTTTACGTTGCGCTACATCACCACGTTAGATCGCTAAGAAACAACATAAGTTACGATTGTCATGATTTAGACTTTTGAAATTCACAAATTCTCGTATGAAGTGAACTAATCATTATTGGGTTGACGTGTNCGGACTGAAATCTCTTATTATAACCTCCATTAAAATTATTATTGTATTAGTATTATTATAAGGGAAAAAAAAAATTTAACCTCCCAAAGTATGCCATTTTTTGAGTTTGCTATATAAATCTTTTTTTTTTTTTACAATTTGCCTCCCAATGTAATCGAATCTGACAATTTGTCTCCTCAATTGAAAACCCTAATATGGCACAAAAGAGTTTTTAACTCAATTAATGATAAATTTTAAATTAATCTTTAGAATTGATTTAGGGCTTTTAAAGCCCATGGCGAGACGAACAAAATGAGGTATGATTTGTCGAATTCTGAAAATTGATACCTCTCTAATCGACCCACGAAGATAGTAGGAGCACGTATGTATAGAAAAAATATCAATTCAAGTTTCTGATAATCAAGATATCCGATTTCCGATTAGGAGGTGTCAATTGAAAGCTAGTAGGACCAATTTTCTAACACATAAGCCTTATGAAATCCAACGGTCGGATTTTGGTTAGTAGTCTTAAAAAAAGCTCACTATTGATCAGTAGTTTTCTAGTAGGACCAATTTTCTAACACAAAAATCTTATGAAAATCCAACGGTCGGATTTTGATCAGTATTTAAAAAACTAGTGATCAATAGTTAGGTTTTTTTTAGGATATTAACCAAAATTCGACCGTTGAATTTTCATAAGATTTACTTCGATAGAAAACTCGTCCTCCAAGCTTTCAAATGACACCTCCCAATCTAAAATCGGATATCTTGATTATCGGATTGAAATTTTTTCTATACACACGTGCTCCTGCTATCTTCGTGAATCGATTTTAAAGATATCAATTTTCAGAAATCGATAAACCACACCTCATTTTATTTGTCTGGGTTTTAAAAGCACTAAATCAATTTTAAAGATTAATTTAAAATTCATCATTAATTGAGTTAAAACTCTTTTGTGTCATATTAGCTTTTTAATCGACGGGGTAAATTGTCAATTTCGATGGCATTGAGAGACAAATTGTCAAAAAAAAAAATTATATGGCAAACTCTTAAAAATTGAGGTTAAAAAAAAAATTCGTTATTTGAATTATAATCCGCCTATATACTCTCGCATGCACGCTTGCTTCATGATCCCACAATCCAAATAAAGTACCCATCTTCCTAGTTTAGAATACTCGCCCAACCATAAGTCTAGCTCACACAGTTGCTTCTACTCTTCACTTTTTATGCGCCACTATCGCCGGCGATTACCAGATCTCTTCCCGCCGTGAAATTCCCGGCCACCACCGTCCACGGTGAGTTTACGCTATTCTTTCCGAAGTTGTCGAGAATTTTGATTTCGACCTATAATTGCAGTGCCTAGCTTAGCTTTGTCGTCTGTCGTAATTCGTCTTAGTATGACCGGCAAAAAAGATTATTTTTTTCCCTTGTTTCTTCTGTTTTTCTCTCAAATGCGAGTCATTAGTCAATTGCAATATCAAAGAGCACGACTTAATGTGATAATGGCGGTATCCGTGATCTGATTTCAGGCTTTTGCTGAAGCAAAATATTATTTTTACACAGCAAGTAGAAATATTATTGGGTCCCTTTTTTATTTCTTATTTTTGGCTTATTAGGAAGAAGATTAATCATTGGAACCAATTTGACCGCCGACAGATGAACATCTGGTTAATTGAGTTTTGAATTAAAATAACAAAATTTTCTTCAACCCTTTACACCACGGTTAAAAAGAAACATTTTTTATTTTTTTGGAAAAGAAATGAGTTCATATGCATATAATCCATTACAAGGAAAAACAGACGAAGCAATTTTGCCAATTTCAATTTGAGTTTCCCCAATCTAATTCCCTCCCAGTTTTCCTACTTGTTTCCTCTCAAACAAAGCGCTTGTCACACTTTCTTTCTATTGGACAAAATCACTTTATTATTTATTTTTTTCTGTTTTCTTGAAAAAAAAAAATCATCATTATCTCAGGTGTGGCAGTTGTTTGGGAGGATCAATTTTGGCGTCATGCTTATTGCTTGAGCCGTGAAAAATCCAAAAAGAAAAAAAAAAATCCCTTTATCAAGATGGCCAACAACACGGCTGGCCATGAGATATGCCAGCTTACATTCCTTTTCGATTTCGAAACAGAGCTTGGTAAGGACCTCAGGGGTTTCTTGTACTTTCTGGCCCTTGGCTACTGTTTTGTTGGGCTTTCGGCCATAACCGATCGATTTTTCCGGTCAATGGAAACCGTGGTCAAGCATAGCCGAGCTGTAGAGGAGATTGATCCCAGGACTAAAACCAAAGTCATTAAGCACGTGAAAGTATGGAATTATACAATTGCTGACATCACATTGCTTGCTTTCGGTACAAGCTTCCCGCAGATTTCGTTAGCCACGATCGATGCAATAAGGAATATCGGAAGCTTGTATGCCGGAGGTTCGTATAAATCAATTTGTACTGTGGCTTCTTTATTTATGTTGCTGGTTTTGAATGGTTATTTCTATTTGTTCCCCTAACTTACTCGTTTAGCCGAGGTTCGCATGAATTTCGCTTGTAAGGTCTGTTTGGATTTGTTGAATTTGATGGACAGGTTTGGGCCCGGGAACACTCGTGGGCTCAGCTGCGTTTGATCTATTTCCGATACATGCAGTCTGTGTTGTTGTTCCTAAAGCTGGAGAACTCAAGAAGATATCTGATATTGGTGTTTGGCTTGTGGAACTTTTTTGGTCTTTTTGGGCATATATCTGGCTGTACATTATATTAGAGGTGATGCTTTTATTTTATTTTATAATTATTTTTTTCTTGTGATTGAAAAATTTATGCATAGACTTTGAAAACTGAATGAAGAACCTCTATTATTTTATAAGTTTTGTTTAAATAAAATAATTCAAAAATCCAGTTAGCTTCATCTGAATGTTTCTCTTTCAGTCTGTGCTTTCTTGTGTAATCCCGCAATTCGGAGATTTTCGTTATAAGGTAGAAACATTAAGCATGATATCTACTTCTCAGGTGTGGACACCAAATGTCATTACACTTTGGGAAGCTTTTTTCACGGTGTTACAGTTTGGTATGCTGCTTACTCATGCCTATGCTCAAGATAAACGTTGGCCATACGTGTCTATTCCATTGTAGGTCGTTTGGTTGATATAATTTATTTTTATTTTATTTTTTTCTAAATTTACAAGATAAAATAGCCTAGGTGTTTATGCATTACTGAGAAGAAAAAAACAAGCTTTGACTTTTTACTTTTGGCATCAAATTTTATCTGCTTAGGAAGAGAGATGAAAGGCCGGAGGACTGGGTACCAGCAGAAACTGGCAATAGGATTCGTGATAAGTATTCCGAATTAGTCGAAATTGATCCGGATAGAAGCAGGGATATTGTCGACATTTTCTCAATCCATTCTGGTAATGCAGGTAATCAAGAAATTATGTTGAAATCTAATGAGTTCTGTCTCGCCCATTAAATCAAATCATTTTACCCTTATTTTTATTTCAATCAAGAATAATGTTCACTTCGACTAATGAATAGATAGATAATTGTCATTGGTCAGTCATTAATAAATCACTATCTCAAAGAAAACGATAGCCTGTCACAAAAAATGTTGTTAAGTTGGATACCCATTGTAGCATTCTATTATTTTGTACAGAAAAAATCACTCTAAACTGCAGGTTATATGTATGAAAGCTTGCCTAATACTGACGTTACAGAATCCTGTTCAGAACAACCTCGTGAAGACTTAACTGCACAGAAAGTTGATCTGCCCTCAATCTGGAAACAGCAGTTTATTGATGCTCTCACGGTACGCCAATCTCATGGCAACTGCTTTCGAAACTTTTATTTCTACATGACCACTAATTATCTTTCAAAAATTCAAGAAAAAGTGGGTTCTTGTAATTTTAAAAGAAAATTAAAGAATCTTTTCAATTAGGCTCATTTGTACGATTTGTCCCTATCTTATTTCCTTTATGACAGTTAAAGAGGCCAAACTCAAGACAATCAGGCAATAAATTATTACGTGTAGCGAAAAACTTTTATGAATTGCTCAGTGCACCCTGGAGACTACTCTTTGCCTTTGTACCTCCGTATCAAATAGCTCATGGATGGATAGCTTTCATTTTCTCTTTAGCTTTCATAAGCGGGATAGCTTTCGTTGTCACCAAGCTTACGGATCAAATTAGCTGTGTTACAGGTTTGCAACTGGATGAAGACTATTTTTCCTAGTATACAATGAGTTTGTTTGTTTTTTTTTAAAGGGTCCCGTGACATGTCTGTCTTACATTTCTTATGCAGGTATTAATCCGTATGTGATAGCATTCACAGCTTTAGCTGCTGGAACATCATGGCCCGATTTAGTGGCCAGCAAGATTGCAGCCGAAAGGCAGCTGACTGCAGATTCTGCTATAGCTAACATCACTTGCAGGTTTTTTTTTTTTNTGGAGTGGTCAATTATTTGAATTTCTATATATTTTATTCGAGCAATTTGATATATTCTTTGAATTTATTACATGCTCACTTGATGCAACTTTGATGTAGCAACTCAGTGAATATATACATTGGAATTGGAGTGCCATGGCTGATCGACACGTTATACAACTTCATAGCGTACAAGAAGCCGTTGAGGATAGAGAATGCAAGAGGACTTAGCTTCTCATTGCTCATGTTTTTCGCCACATCAGTTGGGTGTATTGGGGTTTTGGTACTTAGACGGTACACATTAGGAGGCGAGCTTGGAGGCCCAAAAGGTTGGGCATGGGTTACTTGTGTTTTCTTCATGCTCCTATGGCTTATCTTTGTCGTCTTGTCGTCTTTACGGGTTTCTCATGTTATTTGAAGTAGAGTGTATGTGATGGTGTGTGGCTTGTGTGAGTTGGGTTTATATAGTTCTCAAGTGATGAGGCTATTTGTTATCTCAAGCAAGAATTCAAGATATAGCAGAAATGCAATTNATGTCAAGTTGATAATAGTATTTCATTTTTGTAGTTTGTACCTTTTTTGTTCTTCTGTTTGTATTTTCAGTTAATGTAATGATATGTGATCAATTTTGAAAAAATAAAAAATAAAAATTTAAAAGTCCATTTATGGAGTAATGGATGTGGTGAAAATTTTAAATCTATATATATAATTGATGGCAAACTTCAATAAATTTTATTCAACCAATAATTAATAATAATAGGAGTTCATTTAATGAAAATAGGTGTTACTTTATTAAAAATATGTTCACCATTTAATAATAATATGTAACTGAAAGTTACATATTTATTTTGACATGTCCAATTAATGGTGCTAATTTTGTAAGGTCTTTTTATGTTCTGAAATACAAAATATTTTTTTTTTTTTACTTTGATATTATATATTTTTTTGGTATTATATAAATACATATTTCACAACTAATTAGGATGACTACAAATATCTCTATTTTCTATTGCAGTTATACAATAATAAAAAAATATTTTTTTCAGATATTACAAAGATAAATCAAATATTTTGAAAACCCAAATCCCAGAGTCACGAGTCGAAGATGTTTAACGATAATGATTTGTTGTGATGGAGATTTTGACGATAGGAAAATCACGAATGTTGTTTATAAAGAAGTGTTTAATAATATTTAGGTTAACTTTTTTAAATTATTTTTTCTCATTCATTAAATTATAATTTTTATTTTATTTTATATTTTTAATTACTTTCTCTTTTATTATATCATTTTTCGTGCAAATGCACGAGGTAAAACTAGTTTAACTTCTGAAAACTAGTTCTCCTTATTTCAAAATATCTACTATGGTGGATATGGAAAGCCCAAAATCTTTGGATCTTCGACTACTGGCTTTTAGAATACACCATAGTGCAATCAGCTTCTTCAGCATGGCTAGAATTCACCACTGTGCATCCTATGTGATTGATTTTTGCTTCTCACACTTACTTTTGATGTTGTTTAATTTGTGCATATCTTTGTTATTCGAAAATGCTCCCCTACCCACGGTGGACACATGTTAATATGCCCACCGCTTATGTGGCATGCACACATTGGTGATGTATTTCTTTTAACATATTAACATCATCAATGTGTGAATGCCACATAAGCGGTGGTCATATTAACATGTACCTACCGTGGGTAAGGGAGCATTTTCCGTTTGTTATTAGTTTTGGTTTTGTAGTGGTAATCCTGCTAGGTCCCTTGATTCAGTGGCAAGTCTAATTTTTGCCTTGTGCTTTTCTTAGGATAAGCACATCCATTGCAAGTATCTATCTTGGTCTTCATAGCTTCAGTCTATGCCAGGAATAGAATCTTGAAATGGCTTTATTTTCGGTTTGCTTAGGCCGCCAAGATGGTGTACCTTATATTCTACTCTTTTGTAGGCTATAGTGTAAATATTGTACATTCTCTTTTGAGTTATAAAATCTATCGTTGTGAAAAAAAAAAAAGCACTTTTAATAAAATATGTATTTCCTTTCAAAATGTGCTACCAAAATTAATATATTTTGATATCTTTATAAGTTAATAATAAATTATTAGTAATTTACCGTTTTTAAGAATGATTTTTGCATATAAATAATCTATTTTATCTATTTAAAAGAAAAAAATACTCTCTCCTATTTTTAATAGTTGTCGTTTTGATAAGTTGCAGTAATTAGGATTTTCTTTTGTCAATAATAACCATCATTAATGAGGATAGAGTTTGACGTTTTAAGAAAAGATGAAGAGTGAATATGAAAAGATGTAATGTATTTATTAGCTAGATGGGTGTGTAATAATAGAAAATTATATACAAAAGATTCAAAACGTTATTTATTTGATTAATTGTTTGATAAAAATGACATTTATAAAAAATGAGAGGTTGTATATAATTTTTTGCGGGCCAGCGAAAGCCTAAAGGATTTGGAAAGGTAAATAGAATTTGAAACCAAATTAATGGAAGTCTTGCCGCAGCTATCGCAGCCAACGGCTACTCCGCTTGCGCGCTCAACGCAGCCGTTGTTGCCGTTTCACGCTTCTAAGAAGAAAATCAATAATACCATTTTCAGTGCCAAGCTCGAGACAAAAGACAAAGATGACCATTATTACAGAGAGGCTATGAAGCGTGCTTGTCTTCGTTACCAGGAGACCCTTCGACCAGGCATGAACATCTATGTTCCTGTGTCCGAAATTTGCAGAACCATTTTTTGAATTTAATTTTTCTGCATAAATTATCGTTCAGACATTTCCTCGAACACTTGTTAGATGAGTTGCTTTGGTGGGACGATGTGTGTGTATAGTGTATTGAGCAGCCATCTTGTATAGTATGCCATTGAAGAATGTTGTGTGAAAAGTAATTGAAAAGCACTATCGATTGCACAATTCTGCATAAAATTCTTGAATTGATAGAGTAATTGAAAAGCGTTATTAATTCTTAGTTAAATAAGTTGAAGTTAATAATGTTTCGATTTTTTACCGTGCAGATCCTATGTTCACAGACCCATATATCAGATGCCTTTTGCCACCCATAATTGAAACTGAACAAGCTCAGATTCTGAACAAACATTGCTTAGCAACCAAGTTTATTGATGATAAATTGGTCAAGACAATGCAGAAAATTGATGCTTTCAGGCAGGTATCACACTATAATGCACACGAAAAGGCTAAGTGAATTGCTATTCCTCAGTTTTTTTTAGGTCATATGAATGTTATTTTATCGTCTATATTCTGGCAGGTTGTTTTGTTGAGTGATGGCATGGACACACGGCCTTACAGACTTAACTGGCCTTTATCAACCATATTGTTTGATGTGTCGCTTGATAGATTTTATAAAACGTCTACCAAGAAGCTCGAAGGTCTGTTTTTGAACTCAGTCTGTGAAATATGAAAGCTGTTAAAGTAACTTAGGGGAGTATTTGAGAAGTTATGCTTATGGAGCAAGAAGGAAAAATAGTCGAGTCAAAAGTTTATTGCATTTGCAAATTGAAGCTAAAAGTTGATCAAGTGGGAAAATAAAAATCTAAAACAGCTTATAGATTCTATTTTAATTATGTAAAATCAGAAAGCACAAGTGCTCATCTCAAAAGGCTACATGCTGTTTATTTATTTTTTATTTTTTATTTTGCCGTTTTAAACTATCAATATAAGTGCAAGTAATAATGTGTTGTCACTTGTGTGGTCCATACAAGGTACTCTAAATTGTTGGTGATATTTTGAACCTGAAGAACATTACGCCATATCATTTCAGAATTCGATCTAACTTCTTATATTGATACTATGTGATTGTGTTCTGAGCATAAGAAACATATTATCTGGAGATAATGTATACATTTTAAGATTTATATATTAAAGCTTCCTTCAAAATTTCCATATGAAGACTGTAAAGTTTGAGCAAGATTATGTACCTTCGGAAAATTAGGCATATAGTTTTGATTTGATTTAAGTTGTTCCTTGGAATAAAGGGTCTATACACAACGACCATTTATCTGGCTAAATGTGTAAACATTTAAGATATGATAATGGATGCTTCCTGCAATATTTCATGTTTATTGGATGGGTGCTGGAATGAATTCTAACCGATTGTACCTCTATTTTTCCATATTTTTGTTTTCCCGGTGCTTTAATCATTAGGTGTTGGTGCTAAAATTCCAAGAGGCTGTTTGTTCTTTCATGTGCCATCTGAAACCCCTAATATCCAACAAGCCTTACGCATTAAAGGATTTAATGGGGCCAGACCTAGCCTTTGGGTACTCCAGGTCATTAAATCTCGTTCTTGACAAAATTGAACCATATTTTTCACATGATCCAACTACATGATCACACAAAATGCACAATGATTAATATATGCATGTCTCATTTCTGTTTTACGTCTTGCAGGGACTTCCGGTTTCAAGTTTGGCCAGTTTTAAAGATATTTTGTGTGTTGTAAGTAATTTGGCCATGAAGGGGAGTATTTTCCTTGGAGAATTGGCTGATGATTGGTTGTTTGAAACTGAAACTGGGATCAAGGTTAACGAGCTTTTATTATGTTTACTTTTGACAGAAATTAAGTCTGTTTTTTAGATTTTGGTCCCCCATTTTCTTTTCAATGGAATAAATATCATCTTCTATGTCTTTGTTTCAATACAGTCCACAATAATGGAATGTATGGACAAGCTCTTCATGAGCCATGGCCTCAGGGTTGAGATGATTGGATATGATGAAGTTGCTGGAAATATCGGGAAAGAATCGGTGAAAGATGGCCGCGAAAATATACTTTTCGTGGCCGAGCAGCTGCAGTTTTCTGATGACCAGGTTAACAACATTTCTTATGTTCGAATATTGACTTTCGATAATTACAAACAAATCACTATTTTTCGCATGCAATTAGGGATTGTTTCTGTTTAATGAAAAATGGGTAAAAAAAAAAACCAAAGGCTTAGGTTATTTGGAAACAAGAAATATTCTCTTTGACAAATTGCTATATGAATTGGGGTATTCGTTGGGTAAATACACACCTCAAGGTAGCACTGCTAACACTACGAATGGTATTTGTTTATTTCAAAGATTAAAGATCGTTTTTCTTTTTCTTCCTAGTCAAAGTTATTTAAGAATTGATGCAAACTTTCACAGATGGAACTATGGAGGAGAGAATTCCAGAGGTTAGAAGAAGATGGTGATGAAGAAGGCTTTGAGGAGCTCTGAATGAGAATAAATGGAGTTCTCAAAATTGTTAACTTAAAGGGCCCTTCAATTTTTGTGAACAGAGATTGATGTTAGATCATTACATTCTACTCATGAATGGTACAATTTTAAAGGTATTTATATTCTAGGAAGCAATTATATTTCTACTTCATGTACTTTTACATATATATAATTTAAATAATTTATTAATGTTGTTGTTGGACAGGTCTAACGGTAAGATAATCATACATTATCAAACCTTCATACTGAAATGTCACGCTAAAAAAAAATATAAACAAAATATAACAGCATAAATATGTATTTTTGTTAAA